AAACTCTTCTAAAAAATAAAAGAGGAGGGAACACTTTCCAATTCATTTTATGAGGCCAGTATTACCCTCTAACTCAAACCAAACAAAGATATCATCAGAAAACTACCAATATCTCTTATGAATATAGACACAAAAATCCTCAACCAAATACTAGCAGAATGAATCCAGCAACATATAAAAAGTATTATACACCATGTTCAAATGGGATTAAAGCAGCCAATGTAAAACACCATATTAATAGAATAAAGGACAAAAGCCAAATGGTAATCTCAGTAGATGCAGGAAAAAGTGTTTGATAAAATTCAACATCCTTTCATGATAAAAACACCAAACAAACTAGGAATAGAAGGGATCTTCCTCAATCTGATAATGCTGTCTATGAAAAACCCACACCTATCATCATACTTAGTAGTGAAAAACTAGATGCTTTCCCCCTAAGACTAGGAACAAGACAAGAATGTTCACTCTTAGCACTTCTATTCAATATTGTACTAGAGGTTCTAGCCAGGTCACTTAGGCAAGAAAAAGAAATAAGCATTCATTTTGGAAAGAAAGAGGTAAAATTATCTCTATTTGCAGATGTCATGATATCCAAAAATCAATCGTATTTCTATACATTAACAATGAACAATCTTGGGCTGGCCCCTTGGCTTAGTGGTTAGGTGCGCGCGCTCCACTGCTGGCGGCCCGGGTTCGGATCCCAGGCACGCACCGACGCACCGCTTCTCCGGCCATGCTGAGGCCGCGTCCCACGTACAGCAACTAGAAGGATGTGCATCTATGACATACAACTATCTACTGGAGCTTTGGGGGAAAAAAATAAATAAATAAAAAAATTAAAAAAAAAACTACATATGCTTTAAAAAAAACAATGAACAATCTGAAAATAAGAATACAATTCCGCTTACAATAGCATTAGAGAATAAAATAGGAATAAATATAACAAAAAAAGTGCAAGACATATACTGAAAACTTTAAAACAACATTGAAAGAAACTAAGTGGAAAGACATCCCATGTTCATGTATTAGAAGACTTAATATTGTTAAGATGGCAGTACTTCCCAAATTAATCTCTAGATTCAGTTCAATCCCTATCAGAATATCAGCTGCCTTGTTACAGAAATTGACAGACTTATCCTAAAATTAATATAGAAATACAAGGGACCTGGAATAGCTGAAACAGTCTTGAAAAGGAAGAACAAAGTTGGAGGACTTCTACTTTTCATTTCAAAACTGATTACAAAGCTACAATAATCAAGACTGTGTTATTGCGTAAGGATAGACATATAGATGTTACAGTATTAAGAGTCCAGAAATAAACCCATACATTTACAGATAATTGATTTTTCAACAGGAGTTCTGAGACAATTAAGTGGGGGAAGAAAGTCTTTTCAACAAATGGTGCTAAGACAACTGACTAGTCACTTGCAAAATAATGATGTTTGACCCCAACTTCACACCATATACAAGAATTAATTCAAAATGGATCATTGACTTAAATGTAAGAACTAAAACTATACAACTTTTAGAAGAAAATGTAGGTGTAAATCATTGTGACCTTGGATTAGGCAGTGAGGTCTTAGATATGACAAAAGCACAAGTGACAAAAGAGAAAATAAATAAATTACACTTCATCAAAATTAAAAACTTTTGTGCTTTAAAGGATACCATCAAGAAAGTGAAAAAGTCCACAGAACAGGAGAAAATATTTGCAAATCACATATCTGATAACATGTTGTCTTGTATCTAAAATGTAGAAAGAACTCTTACAACTCACCAATAAAAAGACAACCCAATTTCAAAATGGGCAAAGGATTTGCATAAACATTTCTCCAAAGAAGATGTACAAATGGCCAAAAAGCATATGAAAAAGATGTTCAACATCATTGGTCATTAGGAAAATCAAATCAAAACCACAATGAGATACCACTTTACACCCACTAGGAAGACTAGAGTCAAAAAGACAGACAAGTGTTAGTGAATATGTGGAGGAATTGGAACCCTCATACAATACTGGTAGGAATGTAAAATTAACGCACCTGCTTTGGAAAACAGTTTGGCAGTTCCTCAAAATGTTAAACATATAGGTACCACATACCACTCCTGGGTATATTCCAGGAGAATTGAAAACTTATGTCAACAAAAAATCTTGTACGTGAATGTTCGTAGCAGCATTCCTCATAATAGCCCAAAAGTGAAAACGACCCAGATGTTCATCAACTGATGAGTGGATCCATAAAATGTGGTATATTCATACAATGGAATATTAATCAGCCATAAAAAGAAATATGAAGTTCTGGTACATGCCACAACGTGGATGAACCTTGAAAAGATTTTGCTAAGTGAAAGAAACCAGACACAAAGGCCACATATTTTATGATTCGATTTATATGAAATGTCCAGAATAGGCAAAGCCATAAAGACAGAAAATAGATCAGTGGTTACCAGGGCCTGGGGGGAGGAGAGAATAGAGAGTGGCTGCTAATGGCTATGGAGTTTCTTTTTGGAGTAATGAAATAGTGACCCAGGTAGGAGCATCCAAATGCAGAGCTTGCGTCACTGGCCTGCATCTTTACTGGTGAGAGTGGGGAAAGGGATGTTTGCCCACCTTCGGTACCATGGTGGGAGGCAGGGCACTGGAGCATCAACTCAGATAGGAAGATGTCCAAATGCTGGGGAGCCAAAAATGACAGATTTCCACTAACATTTGGAATAACCAAAATTAGAACCATCCTTTATGTTATAGACCAAAATAAATTCCACATGGATTCAGAATGTGAATGTAAAACTTGAGACCATAAAAGTACTTGAAGAAAATACACGTGTATACTTATGTAATCTTGGTTTGAGGAAGTTGCTAAACATGATATAAAAATCAGAAAGCCAATAAAAAATGTCAATAGAGACTATTTAATGACCCAGAAAGGGAATCATGGTCTGTTTAAAAGAAAAAAAAAAATTAGAATAGTATATACCAGGACATGAACAGTGGTTTTGCTCTGTATGATGAAACTAGAGATGAGCCTTCCTGCCTTCTTTCCATCCTTCCCTCCTTTTTGAAGATTTTTTTTTTTTCAAAAGCTTTTTAAATTTGAAAGGTGTGTGATTTGGTTAGTTGCTTTTTAAGAATATATAGATACAGTCACGTGTCGCTTAAAACGACAGCGATACATTCTGACAAATGCATCAGGCGATTTCATAGTTGTGTGAACATCATAGAGTGTACTTACACAAACCTGGATGGTATAGCCTACTACACACCTAGGCTATACGGTACTAAACTTATGGGACCACCGGTATACGCAGTCCATTGTTGACCAAAATGTAATTATACAGCACATAACTGTATCTGGGTTTCTGTAGGTGAATTTTATGCTAAACACTACAAAAGTGAAAATAACTCTTTAAAAAGCAGGTAATGAGACAGTTATATATAGACATCCCCATCTCTATAAAAATAATGTTAAAGTGGCTATTCGAATTTGCTGCATCTGGTGGCACTTGAAAAGGAAGAACTGAATAACTGGATAATGACTGTTTAGAATGCCCCCTAAGATCATGATGTTTCTCTTACCTCCCCTAATGCCTTTTGTTTTGGTTATTTTAATTTGATCTTGTTTTTAAGAGAACTCATCCGCTTGATTAGTTCATGTCAGAGTATTGGCATCTAAGGGGAAGCATCACTGATGCAGACTTTGGAAGTGATATTTATTATGGCTATATTTCATCACTTTATGCTCTTATCTATATATAATGAGTTGCCCCACCATTTCCTGTTCTAGCACCACTTAGATCCCTGATATCTTGTTCTCTCTTTTCTTGGATTTCCTATCTCAGTAAAGGATGCTTGACATCTATTTGACATGAGACCAAGTGGGTTCCTCCCGTGTAAAGGTGAGTCACCTGAATGGAATGAAAGGCTTCTCACAAAAACCTTGATACCAAAGGATGAGGGGAGCCCTTCATGTTCCTATCATGAAGGGCTATCATTGATGCTTTATAGAAACAGACCAAGAGATCTGGAGAATGAAAGAAGGAAAGAGAACACAAAAATGGCTGCTTGTCCCCATTCTTGCCACTAAATTGCTTTTCCTCCTCATAAAAGAAAAATAATTGTTCTGGCTTTGAATTTTTTTTTCTAAATGCCTTTTGCCTTTACTATTAAGAAGATATGAATCAGTAAACATGATCTTGCCGGGATTTTCTGGTTGAAATTGTCATGATCTTAAGAGTTCCTTATAAAAAAATAATCAAAGACTGACTTTCTTTTATGACCATTTCCTCAGGAGATTCATTGAACATTTCTGTTATTTTATTTCTCAGTCATAAACAGCATGACTCTGAACTTCTGTAAGTTTTCAGAGTCTCCATGTCTTCATCCTTCATGTTAATATCAGAACCCCATTGCTCTGGACTGGAATTAAATTGGTATACAACTGTTTTTGGTATTAGACGGCTTAGTTATATAGTTTTATCTAAGTCATTTTGCAAGATGGATATAAAACAGCTTGGGCGTATGTGTATTTTTTTTTGAGCTACACATTTCATGAGAACCTTTGGAGTTTTCTCATGTTTAGATTTTCTGCCATTTTTCTCTTAAATTTATATATTTTGATGGCTTGGAGCAGGTAGCAGGTAGATGGAAGAAAAACATACGTTCCTTTTTTTCTGATAGAAACTAAGAAGAGTTATTCTTACCCTGATTTCCTTGGCATTAAAGTATGAAGTTCTGTTCATTGTTCGTGGAACCTGGTGATACTTTGGTGAATGCAATGTCCATACCACAGTGGTGAACGGGGAAGTGGCAGGCGCTGCATCGAGCCATGACCCTTCCCTCCAGCACCCAGCCCTGGTAGACAAGGAGGTGTAAGTGCAGTGAGGAGAGGAGCACACCCGGCCAGGAAGGCTCTGAGTGATGATGGCTCCTTCGTTCCTAGCCATCCTCAGTTGCACCTGGGTGCAGTCAGATTCATGCCAGTACTTTTCTTGTCTCTTTCCAGGAGCGGCCTATTGCCAGTTCATGGACATGCTCTTTCCTGGCTGCATTAGTTTGAAGAAAGTAAAATTTCAAGCAAAGTTGGAGCATGAGTATATTCACAATTTTAAACTTCTGCAGGCATCGTTTAAGCGAATGAATGTTGATAAGGTAGGAGACTAACTTGTACCTCCATAAGATGCATTGTCTTTCCTTGCAATTGTGGTTTTGGCACAGATATGCAAAAATCCAAAAACATTTCAGTGGGATATATCTTGATATCGCAACGGTAGGTTGGAGTCTTCATAGCATAAAGCATCAACTCTCACTTCCCATATTTGTATGAGATTTTTATTTAAGGAGATTTCTAAACTTGTAGCCATTAGACTAAAAACTCTAACAGGAATTACTAATGTTAAAATGTTATGTTTTAGCATTGCAGAAGAGAAATTTTTATATTTGCCACATGCCACTGTGGTTCTTGTGTATTTTGTTCCTTTGGAGAAATGGCATGTTACAGTGGAAGCACCAGGGGTTTGAATCCCAGCTCCTTGACTTGAGCGAGTTATTTAAATTCTTTGAGTCTGGGCCGGCCCCGTGGCTTGGCGGTTAAGTGCGCGCGCTCTACTGCTGGCAGCCTGGGTTCGGATCCCAGGCACGCACCGACGCACCGCTTCTCCGGCCATGCTGAGGCCGCGTCCCACATGCAGCAACTAGAAGGATGTGCAGCTATGACATACAACTATCTACTGGGGCTTTGGGGGGAAAAAATAAATAAATAAATAAAAATTTTTTAAAAAAATAAATTCTTTGAGTCTGAATTTACCCATCTATAAAATGGAACTAAAACCGTCTTCCCTGTGGTTATGAAGTTAAAGTGAGAGAATGCATGCGAAAGTGTCCAGCATAGTGTATATACTCAGTCAGTGTCAGATTCTCAGTCAGTGTCCATAAATTGTCCTTTTTTCTCCTTTGAATTTTATAATTTTGTCCTGGAGTGATACAAATGGATTTAGACTGAAGTCCTTTTTCCCCCCAGTAAAGGACTAGTGGGAGAGCCCACTCAGTCTCGGGCATGTTTCCTGCTATTCAAATACATATTCGATTTATATTCTTTATTTAGGATATATCTCTTAGGGGGAATAGTCTTGGAAAGAAATGAATTTTGAATGAGGGAAAAGAGACCAGCAGGGGAGAAATGGAAAACTTGTCTGTGCATAGGTGGTAGCAATAAATAGGCTATGGAAATAAAAAAATAAAATACTGGGTTATAAGAGAGAGAGGTTAAAGGAAAAGAGAAAAGTTTGCTAAACAGTATATATTTTTTAATTTGATGCAAATAATATATTCCTAAATCAAAGCATTTTTATCAAAATATTAAGAAAATCTTGGCTTCTTGTTTTCTCAGAATTTTTATTTCAAAACATTTTAACCTTTTGAATTCTTTTCAACTTTCTATCCTTTGCTGTGGTTAATTTCCAGTTAGCTCCTTCTGTATAGGTTCAAAACCACTGCTGTAAGTTCTCCTTACTTATTAGCAGCATCACTTAAGTCTTTTTCATTTATTTCTCTGGAAGTGCTTGAAGATTGAAAAAAGAAATACCCATTCATCGGTTTATTGATGGAACTTGGTATTTAACAAATTGGGGGCTCCATATCTCTGGAAGTGTACGCACAGAGAGTGGATGAGCCATCATTAAGAATGTTGAAGATAAAATTCTTATAATGGAGGGAGATTGGCCTTGATGACCTTTGTTGGCCTCTCTAGCTCAATAAGCTATGATTCTACCCAAAAGTCCTTGGATAAAGACAGTGGTCCTGTTCATGCTTGTCATAGCCTGACAGCATGTGGAAGGCTTCTGTGCAACATTTTGCTTGTCTTCTCAGATTTTGAACTTATGCCCTCAGAACTTTCATTTTGATAGGGAGGGCGAAATTAAGCCAACAGAAGTAAGTGCCTTCCTTGAGTGGCTAATGTAGTACTGTCATCTAAAACTGTTTATAAATTTTCACATTTGGCAGAAAGCAAAGTATAGTAGTGTGTTAAAGGGCCTTATGCTCTAAGCAGGCACTTTCTAAAACAATATCAGCATAAACAACTTATAAATCACAAAACATGAAAATATTTAAATAGTACAGTGAAAAGTTAATTAAGTGCACGTGTGGAAGGAATTCTTCCATGTGGGCAGACTTTACTGAAGTTTGGGAGAAGTGAGATATTGGCACCCAAGTCTCCATTACTGGAAGAGTCTTCATGAAAAACACTGTCTCCTCCAAAAGTTTGCTTCTCTACATTTTGTTCTTTACTTGATTTATTTTCAATTTTTAGCTTCACAAAAAACATTTTTGAAAAATTTATTTCTAATGAGTTAGTTTAATGGATGGACTAAAATACTTCAGTTGCTTTTTTTCCTTTCAAAGTTTCATTGGTATTTAAGGTCTTTCTGCACTTTTAAAGTGGTCCTGATGAATCCATTTTAGGATGTCAATGGTAAATAGCTCCTGAGGTGGCAAAGCCTTGCTGAAAACTTCATGTATACAGCATCCATTCATATCATCACACAGTGAAGCCCCACACTCACACACTCTTGCCTACACACAATCTGACTCACTCCCTAGCTTTATAACTCTCATGGCTCAAATCCAACTAGGATTCCAACCCAAAGATGAGGAGGTAAGAATCTGGTAATGGTGCAGTTTGGATAGCTGGATACCTTTCCATTTCCTTCAAAAATGGCAGCACACTGAATTAAAACTAAGCAATCACACCACATTTTTTTCCTGTCATAATTCTGAAGGATCCTATAAAACCTCTAAAGGAAATACTGATTGGCTCTTTAGGTTGCCAGTAGGAAAGATTACCCCATGAAAAGCTGAGATTCGTCTCAGAAGTTGATGTGAATGCTGGGCACCTCCTCCTCCAGAGTGCTCTCTGTGATTCCCCTAATCAGACTCCATTCCTTTTCCTCTGCACTCCCAGGGCACACTAGCTGGGCTTGTGTGTAGCCCATGAATTACTGGGCCCATATTGTGGTTAGTTCTTCTCATGCTTGTCTCTCTACATTGTAAACAAACCCCATAGAAGCTCATTTTGTTTCATATGAACTGTTAGACTGGTATATGTTGGCAATGATTTGGATTGTATTCATTTGCACTGTCCAGTGGCTATAATCCTTATGAGTTTATTCCAAGACAACTGGACCAAGTATTACAAAGAAATAAGGAAAATCCATCAATCTGGAAACAGTGCAACATCCCAGGCCCATGTTTTTTGGGGGAGATGCTTTGGCAATAAACATACTATAAGGAGAATCAGCCCTTCTTGACAGCTAAAGATATTCTTTGTTTGGTTTGGTTTGTTCAGAAGAATTAAATATTCTGGGAGAACCAAGAATAACATTTTCATTTAATTTTTCTTTAATATGATGAAAAATTATATGAATTCTAGAATACAGCTGGCTAAGAAGCTGGGAGAGAGACCAGTGGCCATGAATTTGCAGACATGTAGGAAATAGTTATATTTAGGGAACATTTTAGTTGTATTAAATAAAACATCCCTGAGGTTTGTGAGTCACACAGTGATTTTATATTGCAGGTAATTCCAGTGGAGAAGCTAGTGAAAGGGCGTTTCCAGGACAACCTGGATTTTATTCAGTGGTTTAAGAAATTCTATGATGCTAACTACGATGGGAAGGAGTATGATCCCGTTGAAGCGCGACAAGGGCAAGATGCAATTCCTCCTCCCGACCCTGGCGAACAGATCTTCAACCTGCCAAAAAAGTCTCACCATGCAAACTCCCCCACAGCAGGTATTGTGATAGTGAAGTCACAGAGTCACTTTCCTTTTAGAAAGTGGCTCAGACCCTCCTGTGCTTTACTGTGTTTGATTGATTCTTCTGAGCAGTCGGTATGTTAACACCTGGGGATGATTTTTATTGTTGTCTGTCTGACCACATTTATCTTCCTAGCAGTGACCTAGATGTAATGAGCCTAATGACCATGATTTGAACTATTAAAAAAGCAGGGCTATTCACTTTATATTATGAAAGCTGGTTGTTAAAATAATACTCCAGGAATAGATTTCATTTTCTGTCTAGTTTTTCTGAGAAATTTCAAGTAGTCTGCTTAGATTTTGACTGAAATAGTTTTACTGCTTAATTTCTGGCAGTACAGACCAGAATATGAACTGATTTTATGCCTTTAAATATGGATCATCATCTATAAACTTTCAAAGGAAATTCATGAAATATGCATCCTGTCTCCTGTGTGGGCAGTGCCAATTTTTATGTGATGATATTCAGCAAGACCTCATTTATCCAGCTTTGTCCAAAAGTGAAGTCATTGAGGATAAATGAACTTCGAATTTTTTAAACTTTTGTGGATAAAAACCTTTCTAAAATATAAACATCCTTGCCATAAAAAACAGACTTTACCAGGCAGAATGTGTTCTTGTAAAATTAGGGTCATTATTATAAACACCAGTTGTGATACTGGACAGTTAAACATTGAAATCTTCAGAAACCATTTGTTTCCATCCCATATGTGAAATCAGTAACCTTAATTTTGTAAACAATACAAATTTCTTATGCCCAGCCTCCAATCAGAATGGATTAGAGGGCCGGCCCCCTGGCTTAGTGGTTAGCGTGCGCTCCGCTGCTGGCGGCCTGGGTTCGGATCCCGGGCGCACACCGAGGCACTGCTTCTCTGGCCATGCTGAGGCCATGTCCCACATACAGCAACTAGAAGGATGTGCAACTATGACATACAACTATCTACTGGGGCTTTGGGGGAAAAATAAATAAATAAATAAATAAAATAAACATACTTTGTTTCAAAAAAAAAAAGAATGGATTAGAAATAGTTATAACAATATAAAATAGATGGTAATCACTTTGTAATCACAATTTTCCTCCCTGTTATGAAATCTTTTTTTTCTGGTTTCATGGTTATGTTCCAGGTAGACCTGAGACCATTGGAAATCTGGCATTATTTAAAAAAAATTTTTTTAAATATACTGAAGATATCAGGACTAACATATCATGATGTCTGCAACTAATTCTCAGGTGGTTCCAGGAAAAAAGTGTGTGTGTGTGTGTGTGTGTGTGTGTGTGTGTGTGTGTGTGTGTGGAGAGAGAGAGAGAGAGAGAGAGGAGAGGGAGAAAGAGATAAAGCAAAAGTAGTAAAATGTTAACAATAGGTGAATTTAAGTGGAGGCTATATCAATGTTCATTTTATCATTCTTACAACTTTTCCATAGCTTTGAAGGTTTTCAAAATAAAGTTGGGGATGGGTGGGTAGAATAGGGGTATCTTTTAAATTTTACTGTCTTCCTTGCACTGGGTGTGGGTGATATGATTACATAATTGCTGTTACAAACAGTATTATCTTTTCATTGAGAAAAATAAAAAAGCCATTCTCTTGTTTCTTTCATACATTCATATAGTTAGCTTAATATTGTAATTTATTTTCCTTTCCTGTGGCCCCTAACTTTGGAGTCAGACTTGGTTTTAAATGACCACATCTGCCACTGGGGGCAGTTCTTTAACCCCACCCGGCATTAGTTTTCTCATCTGCAAAATAGGGATATGCCTGTTACATCTGTGCACACACACAGACATACAAGAACACACACGCACTGGTACATTAGACGGATTCTTGTTCATCTGGATTAAAATAGTGGTCGTGAAGATGGACAAATATGGGAGATATTTAGGAGATAAAATAGATTGTATATTGGTAATGGATGGGCATTAGGGTAAAAGAGAGGGAGTGTCAAGCATGATGTCTTGGTTTGTCTCACACAACTGGATGGATGGTGATATTGTTCAGGAAGTGCTGAAAGACAACCAGATTTGGGAAAATGTTGTAAGTTTGTTTTGAACATACTGAGTTTGAGATTCCTTTGTGACATCTAAGAGGAGATCTAAATAGGAAACTGTGTGTGGAACTTGGACATTTAATGTTCAGGTAGAAAAGGAAGGGCTTGCATAGGAAGCAGGGAAGATGCCAGAAAGATCAAAGGAAACAAAGGAATGATGTGTCAGGGAAGCAGAAGGAAGGGAGCAGAATGGCCAACAGTATCTTAGAAGTCAAGTAAAATGACTGAAAGAATCCATTGGATTTCTCAACTTGGGGGCCATTCAGTGGAATGATGGGACCAGGAGTGGGTTGAGGAATTGGGGAAGGAAATTAAGACAGCATAAAAATCCAATTTTGAAGCCATAGAATAAAAGAGCCTATGTAGAAAAGAGTAAACTAAGCACTGGTCTTTGGGAATACATACATTTAAACGGCAAGAGGAAGCTGAGAAAAAGATGAACATCGGGAAAAAACAGGAAAGCTCAGCATCAGAGAACAAACAGTAGGAAATTTCTAGATAGAGGGATCACCAACAGTGCTGAATATTAATTGTGGCGAGATCAGATAGGTTGAAGCCTGAAAATAGGCCAAAGAAATCTGACTCCTAGGAGGTGATTAATAATCCTTTAGATAATTGGCCTGTTAAAATGCTAAGTGCATACACCTAGATTGCAGCGACTTAACAAGGGCATGACGAGTGAAGTGGATGCGGTAAGAGCAGATTCCACCTTTAATAAATTTGTCAGGAAAATAAAAACACTTGATTGGCGTGGGGTTAGGGGGAGCTGATGGTAGCTTCAGGAAGTGAGATTGGAGGGAGAATGGTATTGTCCTTGATCCATTCTTGTTTGCTTTTAAGATAAGGCACAATGAGCACATTTGTTAAGAGGAGACAAAGGTCCACGGAGAAGGAATCATTGAAAACAGGGAAAAGGGGGGGAAATTGGTGGAGCACAACCCTGAAGCTGGAAGGAGAAATGAAGGTCAAGGGCAATGATGGAGGGTTAGAGAGGAAAGGAAGTATTTACTTTTTCAGAACAGAAGTGATGGGGAGAGGTTGGGTAAAAATTAAGCACAAGGAGTTTGGGAAGCAAAAAATTCATGGCGGTTCAAACTGGCCTTCATCTTTTGTCGGGAACTTTCATTAGTCTAGGAGCTATGGTGGAGAAGAGAGGTGGCATGTTTTCCCCAGGGTTGGGGATTCGGCAGGCAGATGGAGTGGGAGGACAAGAAGGTGAGAAAACCAAAGGTGGCTGGTATTTGTCATCTTAAGGTCTTTAGTTTCTATAGCTGTTGATACACAGCTTCATCTTGAACCTCAGCTGCTACTTTTTCAAGTTTTTAGTAGTGAAATTGGACAGACCTCAGAATATTTTTCTTCCACAATCATAACGAGTCCTTAAATTGGCACCAACACTCCTACTCCCCTAAACAGAACTGTCATTGTGCTGCCTTGGGCCCGTTTTGTAGGAATTCCCTCATCTGTCTTTGATGAAAGCCACAGAGAAACTCGTGCCATTTTGATAGAAAGAATGTCCATGAACCTGAAAGAGAAGTGTGTATTTTCCAGAGCTTAACCTCTCGAGTGACAAAGCTCAGGAAACACATTATGGTCAACAGATAATAAATTTGTTTTTTAATGTTCCAGAAGGCAGCAATTCCTGAGACTTGTGTTCCTGAAACCTTGACCATGTTTACCTCATTGGTCTTAATCAGGGAGAAAGGATATTTTCAGACGTCAAACCAGCCATTCTCTTTTTAATAAAATATATTCTGACTGTTGGACATTGTGGGGTTATTAAAATTATCCTGTGGAAAAGAATATAGCAAGGTATACATTACAGGTAGAACATTGTTTTAAAGCTATAATAGGAGAAAGGCTCCTATAAATACAGTAAGACCTCATTTTTCTAGAGGTCGTGTATCCAACTTTTGGGAAAACATCCAAGAAAATGTAAGCCAAAATGTCTTCTAAGAGTCAGAATAGGTGTTGTAAAATCTGTGCTGTAAGATTCATGCACTTTACTCTTTACACATGAGAGAGTTCCTAGGATACTTATCCAGGGTCTGTTTGCTCTTTCTTAATTTAGACATAATTATAACAAACATGGGGATATGGTTTCTCAGCACATAACTTATTAGGGCAAGGAGTACACTGATATCAATAGAAAGTACAAACATCAGTAAAAGAAGAGCCAAAAACTTAACAAAACCTTACTAAACAGCCCAGTGGCCTGGGATCAAATAGCTCCATGCCTCTCAGTAGCCCTCAGGGTCTATCTGACACCAACACATACTGATAGATAAACTCCGAGTTCCCTTCTAATTCTTAAGATTCTGTTTATTTTCTATTTGTAATCGTCTCCCCCATGAACTATTTTTACAGCCTCTGAACTGGTCTCCCTGCCTGTGGTCTGAAACCATTCAAGGTCATCCTCTTCATACACAAGTCTGATTTTTGTCCATCCAAAACTTAAGACAAAGTGCTCGATGAGGTGAGGGTCAGCTGTCTGGGAAATTCACGTATCTATGTCACAGTTATCTGAGGGATGCCAGGTCAGGTACATTTCAGCAGTAATTTCTGTTCCCACTTCTAAGCCTTGGCCATTTCTTAATTATCTGCATTCATGGAAACAAGCAATGGCTGGTATAATAAAAAAAACTGGAGATGGTCCTCACTTATCTTTTTATTTTTGGCTTTGGAATACTGGATTCATTTTGCAGTGGATTTATGTCTCCCCAAATATTTCCTTAGGCTAATATTAAAATTAAGAGAGGAGATTTTAAAAGTTATCATCACAGTAACAAAACAAAAAAAATTGTAACCTTGTATAGTGATGGATATTAACTAGACTTATCGTAGTAATCATTTCACAATATATACAAATACAAAATCATGTTGTACACTTGAAACTAATATAATGTTATATGTCAATTATATCTCAATAAA